TTTTTTTTTTTTTCTGAGACAGAGTCTGACTCTGTCACCCTGGGTAGAATGCAGTGGTTTCATGGTAGCTCACTTCAACCTTAAACTCCTGGGCTCAAGTGATACTCCTCCCTCAGCTTCCCCAAGTAGCTGGGACTATAGAGAGATGCCATAACACCTGGCTAATTTTTCTATTTTTGGTAGAGATGTGGTCTTACTCTTGTTCAGGCTGATCTTAAACTCCTGATCTCAAGCGATCCTCCCGCTTCGGCCTCCCAGAGTGCTAGGATTACATGTGTGAGCCACTGTGCCAGGCCAAGCATCTAGTTTTTAAATGTACAAGAATTTATCTAAAATGTTTTCATCCTTAGTTTGCACACAGGTTAATTATAAGTGCCTTATTGCTTTCATAATAATAGGTGTATATCTCAAATATTTTGTTGGTTAAGTTCTGTGACTAGTTTGAAAACAAGTTTCCTTCTTAATAGTAGTATAAACATGGAGAAAAAAGGAATCATAAATTTGAAAATGAATGATGATTTCTGTTCCATTGAGCATGCTGTATTTTTATATGAAGGAACAGAAAACCTATGTGTATGTACATCCAGACTTTACTAGCTAGTAATTTTTTTTTTTTGAGACAGAGTCTCACTCTGTTGCCCAGGCTAGTGTGAGTGCCGTGCGTCAGCCTTGCTCACAGCAACCTCAAACTCCTGGGCTCAGGTGATCCTCCTGCCTCAGCCTCCCGAGTAGCTGGGACTACAGGCATGTGGCACCATGCCGGCTAATTTTTCTATATATATTAGTTGGCCAATTAATTTCTTTCTATTGATAGTAGAGACGGGGTCTCGGCGCTTGCTCAGGCTGGTTTCGAACTCCTGACCTTGAGCAATCCGCCGCCTTGGCCTCCCAGATGCTGCAGGATTACGGCATGAAGCACTGCAACATATTGTTATGACAGTATTCATCTATATTCCATAACTTGGACCAGTACCTGTATAATTGTTTTCTTTTTCCTCCTTTGTTAGCAATGCCAAGAGACAGCTGATCCTGATCTAAGCAAAACCAAGCACTAAAAGAAAAGGCAGACCCTGGCCATTTCTGTATAGGAGGCACAGAAATTCCTGCCATACTATGTGACAAATTAAAATACTGCAGTGCACTCTCTAGACTTAGTTTTCGGGCCATTGTCAGGATTGCTCGAGTCACAGGAGTGATGTAAGGGTGAGTATACTCAGATTCATCCACTCTCAGCAATCGTAGTAGTAGACGGATTTCTTCTGAGCTCACTGACTGACTCCCCAAGGAACCATGGATTGCAATCAAATTCTCAGCACAAGTTCGATGGAGGGAAGAATGGGAGTCAAGTGTTTCAATGATTCTAATTCCCATGTTTGCATTGACACAAATAGTCCGACTCTGCCTATTAAGACAACAAATTCTTTTCAGCCAATCAGAGATGAAGATTTGCAGGTCATGGGATTCTAGTTCTGGAAGCCACTGAATAAGAAGCAATAGAGGCTGGACATTACTAATGCCCAAAATCCCAACCGAAGTGTGGTCACCCTCTACAGCCTGGAAGGCAATATAAAAGACAAAAGGTTAGTTGCCATTTTTGCAATGGAGATAATGGAACTTCTTTCAGTAAAGATTAAAAACTCACCATATTCATAAGTTCTTTAAGTAGTTCCAGTGGTGGCTGACCCAGGGATTTTAATACTTCAAACATATGTGTGTAACCAATTCTTTCTTTAAATACTTCCTAGAAGGGGCAAACAATATATCAAAGCACATTTTCAAAGACTAAATTCGTTGGAATATTAAAAACAGTGAACAATACCCATTTATTCCACAGACCTAGCCAAAAAATAAAAATAAACTTAAAAAGTTAAATTAAAAAATACCCATTTAAGCTAATTAACTTAATATTAAATACAAATATCATGAATCAATATGTTTTCTTAAGTCACATGCCTTCACCTTAAAAAACAGAATCCATATATTTTCTTTCTTTCTTTTTTTTTTTTTTGAGACAAAGTCTCTCTCTGTAGCCCAGGCTAGAGTGCCATGGTGTCAGCCTAGCTCACAGCAACTTCAAACTCCTGGCCTTAGGCAATCCTCCTGCCTTAGCCTCCCAAGTAGCTGGGACTACAGGCATGCGCCACCATGCCTGGCTAATTTTTTCTATATATTTTAAGTTGTCCAGCTAATTTCTTTCTATTTTTTGAGTAGAGACATGGTCTCGCTCTTGCTCAGGCTGGTCTCGAACTCCTGAGCTCAAAGGATCCGCCAGCCTTGGCCTTGCAGAGTGCTAGGATTATAGGCGTAAGCCACCGTGCCTGGCCAGAATCCATATATTTTCTAGAATAATGAAGTTACAATAATCTACCAAAATGCAAAAAAATGAAATTAGCATTAACTGTGTATTATAGAATTATTATATTGTTTGCAGATTAGATCATGACACTTCCTCTACTTTTTTCACTTGATTTGTAATTAGTAGAATATTAGGTGAAGTCAAAACAAAACTAGAGAAAAAATGAGACTTTTAGGGTAAGAAGAGTCAAACACAAACCTCAAAGGAATAGATTAAAGAGTTCTGGCAATTTTGAGTGGTGGCCAGAAAGAAACTGAGTACAAAGAGTTTTCTCTCTGCTATTTTGTAACTAAATGGCCTGAATTATCTGGAGCATCAAGTTTGTTTTAGGAAGTCCCATATCACATGTATTTTTGAACAAGGGGGAACCCAAAGCCATGAAGTACAACATAAAGACAACCAAAAAACCTAGAACATACTAAATTGGCTTGAAATTAGGTAGAAATATATACCCTCACTAAAATATCAAAAGGTTTAAGGCCGGGCACGGTGGCTCACGCCTGTAATCCTAGCTCTCTGGGAGGCCGAGGCGGGCGGATTGCTCAAGGTCAGGAGTTCAAACCCAGCCTGAGCAGAGCGAGACCTCTCTACTATAAATAGAAAGAAATTAATTGCCAACTAATATATATACAAAAAAAAAAATTAGCCGGGCATGGTGGCGCCATGCCTGTAGTCCCAGCTACTTGGAGGCTGAGGCAGTAGGATTGTTGAAGCCAGGAGTTTGAGGTTGCTGTGAGCTAGGCTGACGCCATGGCACTCACTCTAGCCTGGGCAACAAAGTGAGACTCTGTCTCAAAAAAAAAAAAAAGGTTTAAATAAAACCAGTAAGACTTTGGGGGGGGGGGTAATGGGCATTTATTGAAACCTTAAAATCTGTACCCCCATAATATGCCGGAAAAAAACCAAAAAAACAAACCAGCTACAGGGACGCTGGCTTCGCTCTCTGGGAGGCCGGGAACAGTAATCTAGAGTTTAATGCGGTCACAAACGGATTAGGAAGGAAATCTTTTTACAAAAGGTATTTTTGTTATATAACCTTTTGAATTTTAAACCATGTAAGATATGACATAGTCAAAAAAATTATCTTTTAAAAAGACGTGAATACCTTTTAGGTTTGAATTTCAGAATACAGTACAGGTGGTCCATTATAATCATAAACCAATTACTTAGAAGTTAAAATGATTTCCTCCTAATAGAAACTTTAAGTTAAATGGAGATTAAAGTCATAGCCAGACTGTAAAAGTTGTAAAAGCCTATTCAATAGTAACCTAACTATGAGTTACATTAACATTTCTTGAGCAAAAGTTAAGGTCTCCTAACACGAACCAATGGCAACTAAGGAATACAACTGAAGGCATGGCTCAAGGAACAGGGAGTAATTAATTCATTTCTGGTACCAAAAAGGCAAGGCATGAAGTATATTAGATATGGCAAATTAAAGCATAAAGTGGTAATAATAATAACCATCACTGACATTTATTAAGCACTTACCATCTGCCTGGCACTAGGCTAACCACTTTATATAGATGATCTCACTAATTTGAACAACAACCAATAAGGTAACTATCAGCATGTAAGGTAACTACCAACATAAGTGGACAGAAGAGCAGTCACTAGTAGAGAATGAGAAGGGACAGAAAACCCTGAGGGTTAGTAAATACAAAGAAGCAGAATTCCCATGGCCACACAACCTGAAAAAACAAGTCCCGAATTGATAGGCTACTCACATGCAAAAAAATATCATATTCTAGGCAGTCATAAACTGACTAAATAGTGATTATTTTATTAATGAAGAAAAACTATAATATAAAACATAATTTCTTAAATTCACTAACCATAGAATCACTTAAAATGATCCTTTCAACATTTCAACACCAGTACTATTGTCCTATTCTTTTACCAACATTGTAAATCCCAATTAGTTTGCAGTTCAATCATCAATGTCATTTAAAATCCTAAAGTAGTGCCCACAGGGATTTATCTTTAAAATTATCAGCAGTATAAGCAAACATTAGTATGCTATTCTTATGCTAAGACGATATCATTTTGCGAACTATTTCATTTCAGGTGTTAAACCATAAGTATTATATACTTTCATACATTACTTCAGGGCTTATATAGTGAAAAGTAGGATATCTAAGACAACATCTTAAAGCTGGGGGGATATATGGCTCACCTTAGCAGCTGGAGACTTGTTCATTACTGCTGTCAAAGCCTGAATGGTTGATACAGCCAAACAATCCAACTGTCCCTGAAATGCCTATGGAGGGGTAGGGAAAGTAATAAATTAACAAATGTGTTCAAGATTTTTACTCTGTTAGGAAACCTTTGTCCTGAAAACCTGAAAAAAAAATAATTACTTAACATGCATTACATTCCTCTTTCAATGAAATGGATTTCTGAAACACTAAAACCTGCAAGAAAATTACCTACTTAACAGAAAATAAGCCATGTGTCAAGAAGGATAAAGCAACATTCACTCAGTACATTAAAATGTTCTGAGAAAAAAACACCAAGCTTACCACATGCTTTTTAAAAATAATGGACACTCTCAAGAGGAAGGGAGGGAGATCTATCATTGGAAATGCTATTATGTTTTAATTTCCCTTCAAAAATACACTTGAACTTTCCAGGTTTAAATTCCATTTGCATGTATAAGATAGCTAAAATAATCTTCTTCACCTCATTTCCAAACTCTTTGTTAAAACTGAAACAGTATATGTATACACCAATTAATTATACTTGTAAACAATTATGTGTATCTATTTTTACATAAAATGCAAACTTTGAAGCAGATACATAAAATGACATACATAAGTACTGTCATGTTTTTCAGAAGGCACTTTTTAATGCCAAGAGTTTTAAGAAAAAATAAAAATTAGCTTCATTTTGCCTTTTATTGTTAAGCTTCATCAGATGTGTTAAATTTCAGGGCAGTGCATTTATTGCAGAAACCAAAACTAAAATCAACAATATTAAAAGACAGAAAACAACTGTTATATCAGGCTTAGTCAATCATGAAGCATAGAATGAGGACTAGAAAGTTGTAAAAACAGTCACAAAAATCTTCTTTCAGGAATATATTACTATTATCTGACTGTAGTCACTCCAAAAATAGTATTTTCCTCTCTCCCTCTCAGAAAAACACATTTGAGTACTAGATCTTTGTAGTATTTAGCTAAGCTCTATCACTTTTAGGCAAGTTATTTAATCTAGAATCCTGGTTTTCGTTGATATTGTTTGTTAAATATTGCATAAACATATTATAATATGCACGAAACATTCTGCATACAACAGAATTTCATCCAAACAAATTCTGTCCTAGACTTTATCCAAGAGAAGCAAGTAAAAAAACCTCATGTCACCTACAACTTGGAAGTGTAACATAAGCCTCTAAAAGACTATTACAATAATTTTATTAATCCATGTAAGTAGGTCTTAAGATAAATACTTACAGAAAAATCTAAAACAGTACTCTGAAATTGATATTTCACATCCAGTATAGAAAACAATAGATTATAATGTCTCTTATTATACCATAGCTCTATTTATAAACCTGGACATTAAAACAAAGTTAATAAAAGATATAATGTAAGTTCTCTCACAAACATTTTGGAAAAGAAAATAGCAAATTAATTTTTATAGGTAGTTTTCTTTCAAACTAAATTATCTAATGTATTGTGAGAAGCAACAAAACTACATATTTTTACTTTATCATACCCATATAGAGTTGAAAAAAAAAATTTTTTTTTTTTGGAGACACAGTCTCACTTTTTCCCCAGGCTAGAGTGTCGTGGCATCAGCGTAGTTCACAGCAACCTCAAACTCTTGGGCTCAAGCAATCCTGCCTGAGCCTCCCGAGTAGCTGGAACTACAAGCATACGCCACCATGCCCAGCTAATTTTTTTCTCTATATATTTCTAGTTGGCCAATTAATTTCTTTCTATTTTTAGTAGAGACAGGGTCTCGCTCTTGCTCAGGCTGTTCTTGAACTCCTGAGCTCAAACGATCCGCCCACCTCGGCCTCCCAGAGTGGTAGGATTACAAGCATAAGCCACAGTGCCTGGCTGAGTTGAATTTTTAAAATGGAAAAAAGTCCACTTTTATGCTAAATTAACACTCAAAGCATTCAGCATCTTCTTCCCTTCCTCCAAGATTTGAGTTGTCCATTAAATTATAATCATTACTTGTCAATAAGAAGCAAAGAATCAAGATATTAACAATGACCATACATATTCACAAACAAAGCCCTTAGGTCTCAATGTACCACAGTGCTTAGAAAAGGAAGCCCCCAAAATATGAAGTCACCACCAGGTGGACAGCATTGATATTTGGGATCCCATTCCTGTACTTTATATCTCCTCAAAATAAAAATAAAAAATACACATATAAAAGGAATTCTATTGATTATTTATATCAACCATGAAGATATTTATCTTTTAGATGAAAGCAATTATTATTTCAGTTTTTAAATAATTTTCAAAAGTAATTAGTGAATATTAGAATTAGATACTGTTTGTGTATTTTAAGATATAAGAAGAAAAGTACAGGAATAGTTACTCCCATTGACTGATTCTGGACTTCAGCTGAAACAAAATGCAGGCTTTGTAGATACCTGGTCCTCATTCATTTCTGTCAGTAATTTGTTGGCAAGGTCTTTCTCGTTCTTGTCTGCCACCTTATTGTTAGCATTTAAAAATAGCTGTTAAAAACAGAGACAAGAATAATGGAGAAAGAACATTAAATTGTTACCTATAAGCAATAATGAAGATTAAATGGATTCCCATGTCTCTCAAAAATAAATCCAAGAATCCACTTGTGAAGTATATCACACTTTTAGAAATTAAAGATTATTGACTTTTTGTATTATAAACTACTATTAGTTTATATACTATATATTTATCTCTTGGAACTCAAAGTTATGAAAATAAGAAACAACAGCAATAATTTGAATTAGTTAATATTCCTAAATTCTTAAAGAATCAGCAGAGAATGCCTCACGGAAAAGAAGGGAGGCTGCTATTGAGATAGACTAAAGATACTGAAATGAATAATACACAGTAAGAGTCCTATAGTCAAGTAAGTTTGTGAAATCCTATCAAACTAATTTTAGAAAGGGTTCTTTCCAGAAATACCTCTCAGAGTCTCAAATATGCTAGTATGTACTTTCACAAGGGAGGTTAGTGTGCAGCATTTACTGAATTGATCTGACTATACATTTTATTAAAACTTTAGATAACAGTATTCTCCAAAGTCATCAAGGGTGGAGCTTAAGTTATATTAGTTTGTATTCTGCAAAGGGATTACCTTTTTCTGAATTAAATAAACTAGTTAAGTATTTTAGTTTCAGTATATAAAACTCAGCATCCCAAAAGGCCTTGGCCTTAGCTCAGTTTGGGTAAAGAAAAAGATAATTCAAAGAAAAGTAAAAGGGAGGCCAGGCGCAGTGGCTTATGCCTATAATCCTAGCATTTGGGAGGCTAAGATAGGAGGATCACTTGAGGCCAGGAGTTTGAGACTGGCCTGAGCAACATAGCAAGACCCCGTCTCTAAAAGAATTTTTTAAAAATTAGCCATGTGTGGTGATGCACGCCTGTAGTTCCAGGTAATGGGGGGGGGGGCTGAGGCAGGAGGATCACTTGCCTAGGAGTTTGAGGTTGTAGTGAGCTATGACACCACTGCACTCTAGCCCAGGCAACAGAGTGAGACCTGTGCCCCCCCACCAAAAAATAGAGTAAAAGGGAGAAAATTTTAGATTTAGATTTATAATGGAACTTTTATAAGAGCATGCTAAGAAGGTTGTTCTTTATGGGAATCATCACAAGTTTTCACTCATGAGCAAAAAATTTTGGAATATATTTATTATTATATGGGTGAATAAATATGCTATCAATGTTTCTACTTTACAATGAGTATGTACTACTTTAGTAATCATAGAATGTTATTTGACCTTGACAGGGCACAAAATTATTTAGAAAATTTAATTTAAATTATGCAAAAATATTACATGTTTAGTAAGAACAATGGAAATAAACATAAAATTATTATTTTGGACATTACATAGCATAAAAGTTAAAAACAAAGGCCTTGAAGTCAAAAAGAAACAAACCAAAACTCTGGCTCTGAAACTTCTTGCCTAATCTATCAACTGGTCATTATGAAGGCAACATATGTTATGTGACCTTAGAAGGTACCTAACAGAGTGTGTACATAATAAAGTAAGCAGTTAATAAATAGTAGCCTTTATTCTGGTTGACAGAATTATAGGGATTACCTTTTCTTTTTTATTATTATCTCAATTTTTCTACAATGAACATTTTATACAAAGAACATTTCATTTTTCTTTTATTTTTTTTTGTCTTTAAAGTGAGAATTGAGATTAGAAAAGAACATGTCTCAAAAATATGCATGTAATTAAAATTTTTCAATTGGACGATATGTCAAAAAGCTTTTATGAAATATAAAACTAAAAAAAAAGAAATAACCCTCATCAAATGCTTTCCTCATTTGATTAGCTAAGTCAGTCCTCTACATCTCTGAGTTCTGGATCCATGGATTCCACTAAACTTAGATCAAAAACACTAAAAAAAAAAAAAACCTGCATCTGTATTATACATGTACAGACTTTTTTTTTTTTACCTTGTCATCATTCCCTAAACAATACAGCATAATAACTATTTAGATAGTATTGCATTAGGTATTACAAGTAATCTAGAAATGATTTAAAGTATGTACATAGGTTATATGCAAATACCATGCCATTTTATATAAGTGATAAATCCACATTTTTGGATTTTGGTATCCATGAGAAGTCCTGGAACCAATCCTCCATGGATACTGAGGAATCATGGTACTGGTGGAAAACATTCCAATTTGGTTTGAAAGTAAACCCAGTAAAAGAGAAGCAATGTTTCTATTTATGTGAAGTTGAAATTTCAACTTAACAAAACCAGAGTTCAGGTAACTTGGAGTCAGGTTTACAGACTGTGATAGAAGACAGCATTTCTATGAGAAGCTGAATTGTTTTTCAAAGAATTAAAGGCAAAATCTTGTCATATTAATATCCTTTGACACAAATAGTTAAGAGAGCTCAGAAGCAACAAATGACTTAAATGACCTCAGATATTCCTGAGTGGAATCGAAATAAAACACTTCATGTACTGAAATGCTTCTCATATAAAGAAATTATTAATAGTTCCCAGTTTGACTAACATTAAAGATTTTTTTTTTCTTTTGGGACAGAGTCTTGCTCTGTTGCCCTGGCTAGATTGTAGGCATCATCAGAGTTCACTGCAACCTCAAACTCCTGGGCTCAAGTGATTGATCTTCCAGCCTCAGCCTCCTGAGTAGCTGGGACTACAGGTGTGTACCAGCAGGCCTGGCTGATTTTTTTCTATTTTTGGTAGAGACAGGGTCTCACTCTTGCTCAGGCTGGTCTCGAACTCCTGAGGTCTAACGATCCTCCCACCTAGGTTTCTCAGAATGTTAGGATTATAGGCATGAGCCACTGCACCTGGCCACCTTTAAAGTAGTTAAACAATTGCAAATGATATAATTATAGTTTCAATTCAAGATAAAACTTGACTACATAATTAAATGCAAACACAAATTTATTATAAAAATTCAGTACTAATATGTTCCAATGTGAATTAAAACACAAACAATAACTTATTAAAATCAAAGACAATAATAATAGAGAAATACCTTGCAGTTCTGTAGCAGTCGCAAGAGATGTTCAAAACAATTACTGTTCAGAAAAATAGCCTGAAGAACAGGCCTGTCTGTGCAATCTAACATGGCTGTGATGGTATCTAGGAAAATAAAAACAAATCATCCATGTAAAATGAAAGTTTGGGATCATATGAATATTTAATCATATTTTTAATTTAGGCTTTTTCAGCTAACAAAATGTATTGGGAAATAATAGGGATAAGAATAGAAAACAAATTCTGTAATTATCACTTGATAAGAAAAGTGAAAAATTTTATACTTTATTATTTAAAATATTTAAATTTTATATGAGTGATATCTATTTTCCAGAGACTTATTTAGTTGTTCTTCCATCATAAGTCTCGTCTAAGTGCCCAATTTGGTTTTTTTTTTTCTGCTTTTTTATGAGACAGAGTCTCGCTTTGTTGCCCAGGCTAGAGTGAGTGCCCTGGCATCAGCCTAGCTCACAGCAACCTCAAACTCCTGGGCTCAAGCAATCCCACTGTCTCAGCCTCCTGAGTGGCTGGGACTACAGGCATGCGCCACCATGCCTGGCTAATTTTTTCTATATATATTAGTTGGCCAATTAATTTCTTTCTATTTATAGTAGAGATGGGGTCTCGCTCTTGCTCAGCCTGGTTTTGAACTCCTGACCTCGAACAATCCGCATGTCTCGGCCACCCAGAGTGCAAGGATTACAGGCGTGAGCCATTGCGCCCGGCCCCCAATTTTTTATTAATAAACAACAACTGGTTTTGTTTGGCAACATAGTCTCATTTATATACTATAAAATTAACATATGGCCATTATGAAAATTAGACTTCAATTAATCCATTTATGACAATGTTTTGCTCCTGTTTCCTACTGAAGGGATACCACTATTCAGAAATCAAATGGACATCCATCCATTCAATATAGACTTAAACTTACTTACAAACTTAAAATTTATAATAATTATAAAACATGGCATGTCATATAAAATAAAAACTACATAAGACAAATCTTATAAGACAAAATTTTCCTAAAGAAATAAATGTTGTAATGGATCATTTTCAACAAGATTTTGATGTCCAATATGTTTAAATTGACACCGCACACACACACATAAACATAGAAAAGCATTTTTATCTCTTTAGAAGCTATACACCAAAGCATTAATGTTGTTTATGTCTGGGTGGTAAGATACTATTATTTTCTTTTTACTTATCTGAATTTCCTGGTTAGCTGTAATGAAAATATTTTATTTCTATATTAAGTAACTATGTGTTAATAATATTTGCATTTAATGATAACATGGGAATACAACAAGAAATTATGTATGTTGGTGAGGGAACTTGCAAAGCAGAGTGAGATGTAAGCACAGAGTGACACAAAACAACCAAAACAAAGAGAGAGAAAAAGAAACAGACATACACACACAGAGGATCTGACAAAGAACAAAAATAAAAAGGGGCCCTCTAGAGGAAGGGCAGATGTTGAAGCGACCTCTACAAAGATGTTATAGAGACACACATAGAATTGATTGTATGTGACTTTTTGCCATAGGTTATTACAAATGGCACTTTCTGAAAATTTACTTTTCCTACAATTTCAAAGTCATAGCTGACTTTCTTTTTAATACTGATGCATTTAGTGGACTACCCTTTCAGAAAAGAATATAGAGACATGACTGTCATAGAAATAAAACACTTCATGTACTGAAATGCTTCTCATACAAAGAAATTATTAATAGTTCCCAGTTTGACTAACATTAAAGTTTTTTTTTTTCTTTTGAGACAGAGTCTTGCTCTGTTGCCCTTGCTAGAGTGCAGGCACCATCAGAGTTCACTGCAACCTCAAACTCCTGGGCTCAAGTGATTGATCCTCCAGCCTCAGCCTCCCGAGCAGCTGGGACTACAGGTGTGTGCTACCAGGCCTGGCTGATTTTGTTTTGTTAAAACAAAGATGTTGCTGGGTGCGGTGGCTCACGCCTGTAATCCTAGCATTCTGGGAGGCTAAGGCGGACAGATTGCTCGAGGTCAGGAGTTCGAAACCAGCCTGAGCAAGAGCGAGACCCCCATCTCTACTATAAATAGAAAGAAATTAATTGGCCAACTAATATTTATATAGAAAAAATTAGCCAGGCATGGTGGCGCATGCCTATAGTCCCAGCTACTAGGAGGTTGAGGCAGTAGGACTGCTTGAGCCCAGGAGTTTGAGGTTGCTGTGAGCTACGCTGACACCATGACACTCACTGTAGCCTGGGCAACAAAATGAGACCCTGTCTCAAAAAAAAAAAAAAAAAAAAAAAGATGTTAGACAAAACAAAATGATTCTATGTTAATTATTTAAAAGTCAAAATCTAGGCCGGGCGCGGTGGCTCACGCCTGTAATCCTAGCTCTTGGAGGCAAGGCGGGCGGATTGCTCAAGGTCAGGAGTTCAAAACCAGCCTGAGCAAGAGCGAGACCCGTCTCTACTATAACAGAAAGAAATAATTGGCAACTGATTTTATTAAAAATTAGCCGCATGGTGGCGCATGCCTGTAGTTCCAGCTACTCGGGAGGCTGAGCAGAAGGATCGCTCGAGCCCAGATTGAGGTTGCTGTGAGCTAGGCTGACGCCACGGCACTCACTCTAGCCTGGACAACAAACCGAGACTCTGTCTCAAAAAAAAAAAAAAAAAGTCAAAATCTAAACAGTCACACAATAGCTGAATTAAACGATCAATATTTTCCACACGATGGCCTTGTATTTCAAAAGAAAGTGAAAAATATGAAAGCAAAAATTAGACTCAGAGAAATGTAATACTTACTCAGCATTTTGATCTGTAGAGCTATGAATCGGCTTTCCCACTGTCTGGACCTTCTTTGATTAGGTAAAGCTGAATGATCTGAATTTAGCAATTTAAAATAGTTCTCCAGAATAGTGCTGGTTTCCACTTGACGCTGGTCAGAGCTGCTACTGAGAAGGATATGTACCACTTCGGTAAGGCACTTGAGAGTTAGTTCTACCTTCCTACCCACTTCTTCAGGATCTCCATCCTCCCAAGAATCACAATCTGCTAAAACTCGCATAAGAACTTCCATGGTGGCTGGAGAAATTGCTTGCAAAGCATTCCTCTGAAATATTAAAGACAACAAAAATGAAATCCAAGCCTAATTGAAGGTCTGTAAGTTTGTAAGAAAGAGAATTTAATAAATCTGCAGACAAGTTTTTCTTTTAATAAATCAACATATATAAGAATGTTTAACAAATAATTTGACAGGCACCACTAGTGGTTTATACATTTTAAGCATTCCCTTCCTCAGAAAACTCACTTTCCACCCTTCCTTACAGGTAAGGATAGCCATGTAATATAGTTCTAGTAAAGAATATTTGGCAGTAGACTATGAACAGGGTATTACTCTACAAATAAAAAGAGAAGGACTCTTTATCCTTGGCCTTTTCACCTTATTCCTGTTGCCTCGAATGCAAACATAATGCCTGGAGGCCCCTTTATATCATGAGGAGATAAGCCCAAGAATTAAAGTAGCAGGCTACAAAGGCAGAACAAGAATATCAAAGGACCTTAGTCCTTGAAGTTATCAATGAGCTGCTGTACCAGCCCAGACCTGCCTACATTTGGATTTCTTAAGCAAGAACAAAACAATAATCCCAAATTGTTTACATCTCTCTTGGATCTGATTCTATAAACATATTTCTGAAAGCTAAGTACACTAAGTAACACACTATTTGGTAGCTATATTGAGGTGACCAGTAAAACTTGGAAATAAACAAACATATGTATTGCCCTAAATTGTTAAATGGAAGCATAATGAAACAGAACATAGTTATAGAAAATCATCTGAAAGTAATAGCACTTAGGCCATTAAGACTTGTTTTATCAATAGTTATCAACATATTAAATAATGTCAATAATAATAAGTATTATTACAGAAGAAACTGCTGATGGCCCACCTAATAATCAATCTCTCCCACCTTCCTTATTAATAGAAAACCCTGATGTTTTCCTGGACACATGGGTATCCAGAATAAAGATCACATTTCCTAAACTCTCCTGCTGCCAAGGAGGCTGAGGAAGCAAGTTTTATCAAACTTTATATATGGACATATTTGCTTTCTCTGCAGTCATATGACCAAGAGCTTGGCAAATGAGATAAAAAAAGGCAGCAAATGTCAGCTTTTCAGCATCTCTTTAAAAGACAGTTGGCACATGCCATTTGTCTACTTCTTCTTCATTACCCCCTCTATCTTTATGCCCCAAATGCAAACATGATAGCCAGAATTTTATTTCATTTATTTATTTATTTATATTTTTTTTGAGACAGAGTCTCACTCTGCTGCCTAGGCTAGAGTACCATGACATCACCCTAGCTCACAGCAACTTCAAACTCCTGGGCTCAAGCAATCCTCCTGCCTCAGCCTCCAGAGGAGCTGGGACTACAGGCATGTGCCACCATGCCCAGCTAATTTTTTCTATATATATTTTTAGTATATATATTTTTCTGTTCTTTTTGACAAGATCATTCTTACACTTATAGATATTCAATTCATCTAACTACCCTTGTACTGATGCCATATTCAACAAATAATTTTCTGCCTTTGATATTACTCTAACTATATGTCCTGATCACAAGGATTTTGAGTATTTTTAGCACATAAAATATTAAATTGGGTTTCCAGTATCTTGATTTTCATGTTAGTTTTCATTACAGAGGTCTCTTGGGGCTTGATTATTCCTGGGCACTAAAAAAAACAAATCTCTGTGTTTAAAAAAAAAAGAAAGGATCCAGTCAGCTTTTACATTAGTTAATAACAATGCCACTTCCATTTTCATTCATGTGCATTAATTAATTCTTTTTAGCAGCAGTGGAGAAATAATAGAAATGGGAGATAATGACCCAAAAGAAGGATATCAGCTATTATAGGAAAGTGATTAAGCAAACATAAAACACAGATAGCCAAGTAGAAATTGTGGCTGGTACCAAAAAAGGGATAGAATCAATAAAACAAAATAGAAGGAAATTTCAGCAACACTCTAGAAGCTAACAGGGTACTAGGGTAAGAGCAAATAAAAATACTGTTTAAAAAATGCCCATGGATTCATAAGTCCTTACTCTGAAAAAAAAAAGAAAAATGCCCATTGAGCACAAGGGCCATTCAACGAAAAAATGATAACACAGAGAGAAAACAAAGTAAAGACAAGGAGGAAAAGGGAATTGCAGCAGTACTAACATGTAGGAAACTCTTAATCTCATGATGGTATTTACAAGATTAATACTCAGGAAAATATATCTAAACTGGGCACATTAAAAAAAAGAATTACCCAAATACATAGTCATCTGCTTATGAAGCACACTTGAAAAATGAATATTATACTCTTAAATCTCCAAACAGAACAGGAAATGAAAAATAAATTATCAAAAAATAGCAACTGCCTATGCTATAATATTAAAATTTCCCTACTACTATAAGATAAAAAAGAGCTTCATAAAAGGCTCTTGAACTCAAATAAATGTCTAAGTATTAACTTTCATGATGACTTCCAGAACACGGACAAGAATTTCTTCCTAATGCCCAAAATGATAAGGTGATACGCCTAGTGTATTATTGGTATAATTTTATATCTTTAAATAAAATTAAAGCTTTTAAAAATATAAGTTTCTAAGTTTTTAAATAAAACTGTAATTTTTAAATGAAACTGTAACTTAAACACATAATTTAAACACAATATAAACGACATAGTACACTGATGTTAGTAAGAGAATGTTTCATGTGAAAGAAAAAGCTATTAATTAAAAAAAGGAAGATAAGAACTTTCAATCTAAGAGAGAAAGGAAGAGATAGAGAAAGAGAGGGAATTAATGGACTTTGAAACTTGGATGGAAAAAGGTGTATCTTTATTTCCACTAATCTCTAACTGAAATTTAGTATTTCTTTCAAATTTAAATGTAAGCAACAAAGCACAGTAGTATAAGTAATATTTGTAATTTTTGTCACCAATAAAAATCATATGTATGTTCATATAGTTGTTGCATCTCTCAAAACATCATTATGCTCATCTCTTTTTAAAAATGACATTAGATTAGCCTTGCTGCTACATCTTTTTAATTAATGTGTCATAGAGAAGCACATATTAATATGTCACAGGTTTATTAATATTTTAGTAACTGCATTTTAGTATAGTTCGTTTCCTTTGTATTTTATTTCAGGCATTTAAAAACATTCTGACAAGAGGCTTTATCAGACTGCCGAAAGAGTCTGTGTTACATAAAGTACAAAATGTGTTACGAATCTCTGATCTAAACTGTGGTTTAAGGAAACATGTAGAATGTTCTTTCTTGACTATAATTCTATTATTAACTAGAAGTTATACTCGAAGTTTATGACAGACAGCATTTAAGATGCTTAACGTAAAAAAAACTACTAGAAATTCTTTCTTGTAGTCAACCCAACTGCTACAGTTTGATTTCATCTGGCCTGACAGGGTTGACTTCCTCCATACTAAAAAGTAAAAACTAGTAGCTGAAAGCCAACACAAATAAGACTTATAAAATAAAAAATTATTAAATCTTGTCATTTATCCAGTAATTTTATTGTCAATGCTAAAATTATTACTTAGGTTTTTGAGAAGATAACAAAAGAAATAAGTAAGTAGATTAGTTTAAAACAAAATAGAAACATAAAAATAAGTGTATGGTTCATGAAGTTATAAAAAGACAAAGAATACATTAAATAATCAACCAAAAGCTTTTTGGATTGTTAACTATTATATATTAACTTTCAATGCTTTCCTCACCTGCCCACCGGCTACAATGGCTCCAAAAAGATGCAATAAGCAACACTTAAGACTTTCCTTGAGATGTTCACTTTCCTGAAAACATTCTGTAAATACAATACACAAATAAATAAATAAACAAGATTTCTCTTTCACAATATGATTTATTTCTAAGGAATGTTTGATACAAACATGAAGAACTACTTGTGAAAAGGCTAAAATATGTTCAAGAAAGCCTAATATAAATTTTGTCTTAGAAAAACAGAAACCATCTGTCAGGGGGCACTTTAGGGTACTCGATGTTATCTCATTTAGTTCTCATAATACTCCATATAAGGATGATATTTTGCTCCCATGTATAACTGAGCAAATGGAAGGTCAGAACTTAATCTCTTGCCTGGTTACTAAGTAACAGCACTAGAAATTAACCGAAACCTGATATAAAATTAGATGCCTCTTTAGTACGACTGCCTCTTACTAGTATAACTGACTACATCTAGTCAATTATAAAATGAAAGAGTTGGACAAAAAGATTTCCTGGTTCCACTCTAGGGCCAATATTCTAAATTCTGGTACCAAGAGTAACCTTTATCTTAACATTATAAATTATTTTATTGTTTTTAAAAGGTTATACATACGCATGACAAAGTTTAAAAAGCATAAAAGAGCTGGCAAGAAAAAGTAAGTCTCCCTCTGACTTATTCCTCAATCGACCACACTATCTCTGCCTTCAGAAAAGGAAAAAGCTAAATATATATTCCTACATCATGTTTTGTTTATTAACTTAATACATTCTGGATATTATTACATTTTTACAGATACATCTGTTTTATTTATTTTTATATCTACAGAGCATATACTACCACAATGAGGTATCCACACTTAACCTGCTGATAAATGTTATACTGTCCTCTTCTGATGCTAATAATTCCATAATGAATATCCTTTTGCATACATCATTTCACACTTAAACAAAACTATAACAATAAAATTATTTCCAATTTTATACACAATAAATGTCACCAAAAAGAAACAACTTTGAGGTTAAATGAACTGATTGAAATTTATAATTTAAAAATTAAGTCATTCCAGCTATGTCAGAATAACTGGCACTACCCATGACTTCCAGCTATGAACAACTAGAAAACTGGACAAAAGAGGTTCCATAAATAAGGTCACAGAATTGTGATACACAAGAGAAGGAAAACAAAGTGAGCCCAAGGATCACACCTCAGATTCCTGTTTGGAGATACTTTCTGGACTTTTGCACAGAAAAAAAGAAACCTAAAAGAACGTGGCTATTTATTCAGTTCGGGAGCCAAAAATCAATATTTGCAGAGGCCTAGGCAATTGAAATCTGTGAAGTAGTGTACTGGAATGGATAAAGCCACACAGAGAAAGTGCTCCAGAAATATGCAAACAGCTCACTTTGTGTCTCAGTATCAACTCACACATGCTAGTATGACATCTCACAAGATAGGCCCAAAAAACTACAAAGAACCTGTAAGCTGAATAATTCAATGATTTCACACAGAGCTAGAAGATGATAGCATCTAATTCAGTCACAGTAGACACACAGAAAGGTAATACACATAAAGGATGTAAAAATATATACTATGTAAACTCTAACCATAAAATTGCTGGGGAGGTTACATAAATTCACATCTGACAAAATAAGGCAAGGAATATTACAGTGGGTAGAGAGGAATATTTAATTATCAAAAATAGGCCATGAAAATAAGAATCAGCAAATTTAAATTGATTAAAGTCATAAAGAATATGTTCTCTCACCATAGTGGACTTACAAAGTAATGAAAAAGGAAGGCTGGGCATGGTGGTTCACCCCTGTAATCCTAGCACTTTGGGAGGCCAAGGCAGGAGGATTTCTTGAGCCCAGGACTTAGAAACCAGTCTGAGTAACATAGTGAGATCCCATGAACACCACACACACACACACACAAAAATTGGTGGGGTGTGGCAGCATGAGCCTGTAGTCCTAGCTACTGAGGAGGAGGCTGAGGCAGGAGGGTCACTTAAGCCCAAGAGATTGAGGTTGCAATGAGCTAGGATGATACCATTGAACTCTAGCCCAGTCCACAGAGCAATAACCTACCTCCAAAAAAAAAGTGTTAAAAAAAAAAAAAAAGGCTGGGTGAGGTGGCTCATGCCTATAATCCTAGCACTCTGGGAGGCCGAGGCAGGAGGATTGCTTGAGGTCAGGAGCTCAAGACCAGCTTAGCAACAGAGAGACCTTGTCTCTACTAAAGATAGAAAAATTAGCCAGGCGTGGTGGCACACACATGTAATCCCAGCTACTTGGGAGGCTGAGGCAGGAGAATTGCTTAAGCCCAAGAGTTTGAAGGTTGCCGTGAGCTAAGGCTGACACAGTAGCACTCTAGCCCAGGTGCCAGAGCAAGACTCCTTCTCAAAAAAAAAAAAAAGTAATGATAAAAAGATACCTGGAGACTCTTTTCATGAAGATGGCACTGAAAGCAAAGGATCCCCTGGTTCTCCCAAAGCTGAAGCCAAATCAAAGGCTTTGAAGGCTAAGCAGTCAGTGCTGAGGCATCCACAGACACAAAATAAAAAGATCTGAACATCACCCACATCTGGTGGCCTAAGACACTGTGGCTCCAAAGGTAGCCTAAATCTCCCTGGAAGAATACCCACAGAAGAAACAAGCTTGACTGCTGTGCCATCACCAAAATCCCCTTAGCCACCAAGCCAGCCATGAAAAAGACAAAAGACAACACACTTGTGTTCACTGTGGGTGTCAAGGCCAAGAAGCACCAGATGAAACAGGCTCCAAAGCTTGGCTGGGTGTGGTGGCTCATGCCTGTAATCCTAGCCCTCTGGAAGGATTGCTCAAGGTCAGGAGTTCGAAACCAGCCTGAGCAAGAGCAAGACCCCGTCTCTACTAAAAATAGAAAGAAATTAATTAGCCAACTTAAAAAATACATAGAAACAATTAGCCAGGCATGGTGGCGCGTGCCTGTAGTCCTAGCTACTCGGGAGGCTGAGGCAGAAGGATCACTTGAGCCCAGGAGTTTGAGGTTGCTGTGAGCAAGGCTGACGCACGGCACTCACACTAGCCTGGGCAACAGAGTGAGACTCTGACTCAAAAAAAACAAAAGAAAAAAAAGAAAAAAGCTCTATTACAGTGATGTGGCCAAGGTCAACACCCTGATTAAGCCCAATGGAAAAAAGAAGGCATATATATATGTTCGACTGGCTCCTAACTATGATGCTTTGGATATAGCCAACAAAACTGGGACCATCTAAACTGAGTCCAGCCAGCTAACTCTAAACATAAATTTTTTCACCATAAGGAAAAAAAGGATCTAGAAACTCCCCAAACATTTACAGATTAAACAACACATTTCCTTTTTTCTTGAATTAAATTATTTTAATTGACAAATACAAATTATATATATTAATATTTATGGTATACAACATGATGTTTTGAAATATGTAAACATTGTGGATTGTCTAAATCAAACTTACACGCTTAACATTTTTTTGTGGTGAAAACACTTAAAAACTGCTCCTAGGCTCAAGCAATGCTCCTGCCTCAGCCTCCCAAGTAGCTAGGACTACAGATGTGGACCACCATGCCCAGCTAAATTTAAAAAAAAATTTTTTTTGTAGAGACAGGGTCTCGAACTAGACTGCCAGGTTGATCTTGAACTCAGGTAATCTTCCTGCCTCAGCCTACCAAAGCACTTAGATTACAGTGGATTCCTTGGAGTCTATAGAACCAGACCAAAATTGTGAACATGTGCTATTTTTCAAGGAAAGGGAAGAATAACACCACAGACCCAGGGGAAAAGTCTGTTTCCTCCTCCTCCTTAGGTTTCAAAGAGTTTGATAACCTCTCAGGTTTCAGTGTGCCAGGATGACCCCACCCAGTGCTTCAGGGCCAGGGCTGCCCTCACAGACAGCCATGTGGGCAAGCCTAAAGAGAAAGCAGAGCACAAGGGGTAGGGATGACCGGCAGAGGCAAAAGGGGTGATAGTAGCATCCTAGTGGGCCTGGGGATTATTCTCAAGCTTTAAAGTCTACTGGAATTTGTCTTACTAGGTTTTGGACTGGCCTGGGACCTGTCACCGCTTTCTTCCTTATTTCTCTCTTTTGGAATAGGAATACTAATTCTATGCCTAACCCACTATTATATTTTGGATGCACATGACTTATCTGGTTTCACAGGTTCACAGCTAGCGAGGAATTTTGACTCAGGATGAGTTGTAACCGAGTCTCACCCATATCTAATTTAGATGACATTTAGATAAGACTTTGGACTTTAGGGTTTACAGAGCTGATATTAGAATGAGTTAAGACACTTGGGACTGTTGAGATGGAATAAATGTATTTTGCATATGATAAGTACATAAATTTTGGAGGGCTATGGATGGAATGGTATGGACTAAATTATGCCCCCACCCCAATTCATATGTTGAAGCCCTAACATCCCCAATCATGTGACTGCAGTAGAGATACAGCCTTTAAGGAGGTGACTAAAGTTAAATGAGGCCAAAAAAGTAGAGCCTGATCCAATAGAACTGATGCCCTTGTAAGAAGTGATAGAGACTAGTCTCTTTCCAACATGTGAGGACATAGCAAGAAGGTGACTCTCTGCAAGCCACAAAGAGATCTCTCACCAGAAACTAAACCCTGCTAGAAACGTGGTCTTGGACTATCCAGCCCTCAGAACTGTGAGAAAATAAATTTCTGTTATTTAAGCCACCCAGTCTATAGTATTTTGTTATGGAAGCCCAAGCAAAGTAAGACAATTATCCTATTATAAACCACACAAGATATAACAAGGAAAAAAACACCCTACAAACCCATATTTTGCTTGAACACAGATACAAAAATCTTTAATAAAATGTTTGCAAATCAAATGAAGTGTTACGTAAAAAGAATAATATAATCATATAATCATGACCAAAGGTATGCTAGGCCAGGAATGCAATGTTAGCTTAACATTCAAAAATCAATCTTTGTATTTTACCAATTAACACACTAAAGGTTAAACAAATCATCTCAAATAGATGTAGTAGAAGTATGTGAAAAAAGTCAATATCCATTCCATAATAAAAACTATTGGCCAAATAGCATTAGAATAAAGCTTCTTCTACTTAATAAAGGGCATCTATTTAAAAAATCTACCACTAACATCATACTGAATGGTGAAAGACTGAATTTTTTCCCCTCTACATGTGGGAACAAGACATGAATATCTTCTCTTACCACTTCTATTTAACAGTATAAAATAGCATATAGTTTGGAAAGAAAAAAGTAAAACTGTCTTTTTTGCAGACATGATTGTATACATGTAAAACCCTAAAGAATAACATTAGGGCTATTAAGATTCATAAGTGAATTTAGCAAAGTCAGAATCAGAGCAAGAATAATCAGAGTAAAAAAAACTAGAGGAGTTACTTACGATAAAAGAAAGGGATGAACTCCACTGTGAGAGAAGCTGGTTTATATTTCTGTCTGCTCTTTTCCACAGTACTAAGGATTCGCCTATCATTAAAAAGAAGTTAATAACAAATTATGACATGGGCAAACAGAGATGGCATAATTACAAAGACAATTATAAAACAAATATAATATTTTACTTTTGATTTGTATATTGAACAACACATCTCCAGGACTGGCATAATCCTGAAAAAGAAGTCTAGCCAATAACTTAAATGCTCATCAATTAAAGGATTTCTTCTTTTGAATTACAAAACATAGTAGCTAGGATAAGTTATCCAAATAACTGGAAATTGAAAAAGGAACTAGTCCTTAAAATTTCCAATTTGTGAAAGAATTTGTTCAGCAATACTGCTAAACTGACAGCTAAGGCTAGTAGCTTTTTATTACAATAAAACTGAAAATTTATCAGAAATCACATTACTCTGCCACTTTCTGAAATTTCGTCTGGAACAATGAGTCCATACCATTAACTGCTTTTGTCTTAAGGATATAGATCCAGTATGAGCTGGCATTATTTTTGTTTTTAAGGAAAATTCCAGTAGTTTTGAGAGACATGATGATTTCTACAGACTTTCATAAGGCTAACACAAATTTCATGTGCTTTTACCAAGAACATTTCAACGCAACACAAAATGAATTTCTTACACGGGCACGGTGGGGTGGAAATTGGAGAATAAAGGGTATTATTATGATATTCCAACTAGTGAAATGGTAGAAAAATTTTTTTAAAATCACAGACATTTTTATGCCCTGAAAAAGCGCTTAATATTATTAGATAAAGCCAACAAAAATGAAAAACATCTGAAGGACAGCCACATAGAAATCCACTCATCTAAATACGACCTACTGAAAAAGCATTGGTTTAAGATGCCATCTTCTTTCTTTTTTATTTTTTTTGAGACAGAGTCTCACTTTTTTGCCCAGGCTAGAGTGCGTGCCATGGCGTCAGCCTAGCTCACAGCAACCTCAAACTCCTGGGCTCAAGCAATCCTGCTGCCTCAGCCTCCCAAGTAGCTGGGACTACAGGCATGCGCTACCATGTCCGGCTAATTTTTTCTATAATTTTTATTTAGTCAATTAATTTCTTTCTATTTTTAGTAGAGACGGGGTCTCGCAGTTCCTCAGGCTGGTTTTGAACTCCTGACCTTGAGTGATCCACCCGCCTCAGCCTCCCAGCTCAGCCTCCCAGAGTGTTAGGATTACAGGCGTGAGCCACTGCGCCTGGCCTGAACTTGTATTTTTTTTTTTTTTTTTTAGACAGAGTCTCGCTTGTTGCCCAGGCTAGAGTGAGTGCCGTGGCGTCAGCCTAGCTCACAGCAACCTCAAACTCCTGGGCTCAAGTGATCCTTCTGCCTCAGCCTCCCGGGTAGCTAGGACTACAGGCATGCGGCCACCATGCCCGGCTAATTTTTTTATATATATTATCAGTTGGCCAATTAATTTCTTTCTATAGTAGAGAACGGGTCTCGCTCTTGCTCAGGCTGGTTTTGAACTCCTGACCTTGAGCAATCCGCCCGCCTCGGCCTCCCAAGAGCTAGGATTACAGGCGTTGAACTTGTATTTTACGATGCAATTGAATGCTAATAATATAATCGAAATGTTAAAAGCACAATAGCATGAAATAGAGTGTACATATTTTTGTTTGGATAGGATATAACCAATCTATTAGTTAATACCATAATCTATAATATTATCAATGCACTAGGCGGATATAAGTTCATGGAAAAACCTAACTGAAAGTTAAATCACATTTTATCCTTTTAAAATTACTTTTTTACCACATGACTGAATTTTTTACTTGAAACCCCAGTAAATTTTGTATTGTCGTGAAGACATAAAAAGTCTTTGGTAATGGTTTTAATTAAATAGGAATATCTGTTAATGTTCTAAGATGTTATGTTTAGAATTAAAATAAAGGCAGTTATTGTGATCATTTTTATGCCTTCTACACACTAGAAGTAGGCATATTTGCAAAGCATTGCAGTAGCAAATGGCATCTGATATGATTTCTAATGAATCTGGATGTTAGATCTGGATCTTAGAACTCTTTATTCTGCCATCAATGAGTCCAAGTGTGCTTATCCTGTTTGGTTTATTCTATGGTCAATTGGCTTTTCTTCCTAGCTTTGCAATAATTATAAGGAAAGTAATTTGAGTAGCTCAATTATGGTCATTAAGATGGCATCTTGGCTGGGCGCGGTGGCTCACTCCTGTAATCCTAGCACTCTGGGAGCCGAGGTGGGCGGATCGCCGAGTCAGGAGTTCAAAACCAGCCTGAGCAAGAGCGAGACCCTGTCTCTACCATAAATAGAAAGAAATTAATTGGCCAACTAATATATATAGAAGAAATTAGCTCGGACATGGTGGCACATGCCTGTAGTCCCAGCTTACTTGGAGGCTGAGGCAGGAGGATTGCTTGAGCTCAGGAGTTTGAGGTTGCTGTTGAGCTAGGGCTGACGCCATTGCACGCACTCTAGCCTGGGCAAAAAGTTGAGACTCTGTCTCAAAAAATAAAAAAAAAAGAAGATGGCATCTTAAACCAATGCTTTTTCAGTAGGTCATATTTAGATGAGTGGATTTCTATGTGGCTGTCCTTCAAGTTTTTTCATTTTGTTGCTTTATCTAATATATTAAGCACCCTTTTCAGGGCATAAAAATGTCTGTGATTTTTAAAAAATTTTTCTACCATTTCACTAGTTGGAATATCATAATAATACCCTTTATTCTCTAATCTCCACACCACCGTGCCCGTGTAAGAAATTCATTTTGTGTTGAGTTGAAAAAAAGAAAAACAAAAAAAAAACCCAAGTTCAGAGTATATTTAATTATCTAGAAGTGGCATTTATCACTAATTCATTCCCTCCAATGTCATTCTCTAGCTCAGAATTAAATCTGTAGACTTTATATACATCTTTCCAATTGCTTTCATAGAGAAGACTTGCTTTAAAGAATTACATATGACATTCAAGTTTTAAATGAACATTATAATTTATAACACATACCCTGAAATTCTATGTCTCCAATTCCGATATGGATCATATAAACTTTCACAAAATGCCAATGCATGAATCACAAATTCTTCAATAGATGTCTGATCTGCCATTTCTTTCTCTTTTTTTTTGCTTTTTAACTGAGAATAAAGTTAAACATAAAATTAAAGACATATTTCATTAATTATCTAACAATAAATTAAGCTTATTCAAATAAGCCTAACTTACTCTTTTGAGACCAAAAGAGTTATTTAATCATATGGACAGGATATACTCTCTCAAGTTTTAGATATATCCTAGGATACGTTTAAAATACACAGCCAAACAACTTTTGAAAAAATAATGTTTTCAGTAAGAGGAATTTATGATGAATGATAAATACATATAATCACAAACTATGTCATTTAAAAAGCCATTTATAAACCAAATTAATTTTTAACTAAAATAATATATAAATAACTACTTATCTACTTGTAGATAATATGTATAAGATTTCTGAAATATATATTACCCAACAATGATTTTAATTCTCTTCTCATTGCCTGTTCTGAAAACATTTAACTATCTTAACCATAATATTTAAAAAGTAAAACCTAGTTACTCTCAGTAAAGCAACAAAAAGGAATGTATTAGTTCACACCTACTTGCTGAATATAGAGTGTTGTCATGGTGATGACATGATTAATGTATGAGCAAGTCCCAATTTCTTCCACATTTGATAGATTTCTGTGAATAAAAAAGATTTTTAAATATTTTTTATATATAAAATGGCTAATAAAGTATATGTTTGGGCAGGGTGTGGTGGCTCACTCCTATAATTCTAGCACTTTGGGAGGATCACTTAAGCCAGGAGTTTGAGACCAGGCTGAGCAACACAGAGAGACCCCATCTCTACAAAACATAGAAAAATTAGCTGGGTGTGGTGGCGTGCACCTGTAGTACCAGCTACTTGGGAGGCTGAGGCAGGAGGATCACTTAAGCCCAGCAGTTTGAGGTTGCAGTGAGCTATGATGATACAACTGCCTCTAGCCTGGGCAAACGGAATGAGACCTTGTCTCAAAAAACAAACAAAACAAAAACCAAAATGTATGTTCATGTATTCAGCTTGGATTTTGAAAACACATGTTGGCAAACAAAATGCAAATGACTTTTCTTAAAACATAAAATCAATATGGTTATGGAACTGCTTCCCAACCAAGAATGTGAAATAAATCTCAAGAACCATTTATCTAGTCTAAATAGAGAATGTTTTAAAAGTACATGCTGATTAGCATCCATTTATTATAGAAAAATTGGAAAATATCACAAAGTACAAACAGAAGAGGGAAAAAAGCCCAATATTCTTACAACCCACACATAATAAGAAGATAAGCAACTATTTATATCTAAATTATTTCCTTACAGATTTTTTTTCCTATGCAGATTCTTAGTTTTCTTTTTGTATATACTGTTGCCATTATACAACATGTGTAGTTTATTTTTGGATTATAGTTCCCTTTTAATTTTTCTTGTTTTACTTTTTGGGACAGTGTCTCACTGTGTTGTTTAAGCTGGTCTTAAACTCTTGGGCTCAAGCAATCCTCCTACCTCAGCATCCCAAGTAGCTGGAATTATAGGCTTGTACCACAATGCCCAGCTTACTTCCCCTTTTAGATTTATGTTATATCTCCTCAACTATATATTAAAAAGTCCTTGATAGAAAGGACACCAGCATCTTTACATATTCTAAGAAGGCACAGTATCATGTCCTATTTAAAGAAGTGGATCAATAAGTTTTTGTTGAATAACTAAAATATGGCCTTCATTTTTATTCCATTTTAATAAGACTGAGGTATGACATGTAATATGGTAACATTTATTACATCTAAAATCTTTTTCTTGGCATAATAAAAAAGTTTATTAATTTTCTGTTCTGAGATATTTTGACTTTGCAAAATACTTTCTATCTTAAAATCCAGTAGATGCTAAGATATCTGAAAAAAATTAACTGAATTGACAGACTTCTTAATGTAAGAAGTCAGACTGGCATGACATCTCAGAGAAAACAAAGATAAAGACATAGGTAAAATTAAAAGTCTTAGCAAGAGTTCTACTACTAATAATGGTAAACTAGGACCAATCTTCTCCCTGACAGAAACTGGAAAAGATGGGCAAAATATCAAAAAATATATATATCTGTCTAAAGGTATCAGAAAGCTACAAGGAAGTGAAAAATTATAAACCCAAGATACAGAAAAAGGAAACAGAGAGAGATGAGACCTTCATATACATCCATTTTTGTACTCATGACTTCTATCATTCCTGACAGAGGTAACAGATAAAACAATGAGAATCTGATGATTGTTTCTGACAGTTAACCACGCTGAAAAGGGACAAAAACTAGAATTCAGAATGCAAAAACAATAGTCTCTAAGGCTTTTTTTTTGAGATCCCAAAAGGTAACACTCGGAAGAAAGACAGTATTATCCTAGGCCTAAAATTATCTCTACAACTTTTCAAAAACAATGCCCAACACTTAAGTCAAAAATAACTACTCACATGAGAAGGCAGCATAAGCCTGAAACTCAAAAGAAACAATATAAAAAAAGAAATAGGCCGGGCGCGGTGGCTCACGCCTGTAATCCTAGCTCTCTGGGAGGCCGAGGCAGGCGGATTGCTCGAGGTCAGGAGTTCGATACCAGCCTGAGCAAGAGCGAGACCCCATCTCTACCATAAATAAAAAGAAATTAATTGGCCAACTAATATATATATAGAAAAAATTAGCCGGATATGGTGGCGCATGCCTGTAGTCCCAGCTACTCGGGAGGCTGAGGCAGCAGGATTGCTTGAGCCCAGGAGTTTGAGGTTGCTGTGAGCTAGGCTGACGCAACGGCACTCACTCTAGCCTGGGCAACAAAGCCAGACTCTGTCTCAAAAAAAAGAAAAAAGAAATAGACCCACAAGTTAAGCAAAAGCAAAAGCCAGGCACAAAACAATAGAAAGTAAGTGATTAATTCCATTCATATGAAGTTTAAGATTAGGCAAAATTAATCCACGGTATTAGATGTCAGGATAATTGTTACCTTTGGAAAGTAGCAAGGAGTAGCAATTAGGAAAGGACATAGAATGGACTCTGGTTACCAATAATACCCCATTTCTTGACCTGAGTGATGATAACTGAGTGTATTCATTTTATGATAATTTATTGAGCTATATACTTGTGATCTGATCACTTCATGTATATTATACATTAATAAAAAATAGTACCATACCAAGGTTTAGGCACTAGCAGCAGTTTGCCCTGGATGCAGGAAATAAATGGGTATGCTGTCTATAGTTAATTTTAAGACAATAATAAACTGATGAAAGGTCAGTCAGCACCAGTAATTAAAAATATTCCTTTTTGAAAACAATCTTTTATTGATTTAAGTCCTAAAACAATTGCTTTCGTTTTTCATTTTTGAAAATACAAGCTTCAAATAAGATTTTTATTACTTAGCTTTTCATAAACATTATATTCTACATGAAAGTGAATTCAGAGACTTCCAGTTATATTATCACCCCTGACAACCATAGACCCAGTTACACAAATACATTTTGAGAGTAAATTTGTAACAGTTTGGAATCACTTGAGTTTGTTTCAGGCACAGTTCATATTCCAAACCCTATGTATTTCTGCTTTTATACACAAGATGTGAAATAACCAATAATAGCTCAATGATTACAAAGGAAAAAAAAATAGAACTTGAGTTACTTGAATTCTATCAATATGTGACAACTTGGAGATATTGTTTTTAAAATGATACAAAGTGTGAATTGTGAGATATGAAATTTTTGCTTGATAATATAAATTTTAGTTCATGAATGAAGTATGTATTTCATAATTATAACCAGAACTAATTTTGCTGTATAGAGGAAAGGGATGTTAAAAAATGATCCATTCCAAGTATCAATATCAAATACACTAGAAAATACCACAATCAAAAACTTTTAAAAAAAATTATTTAAATAAAAAACTCAGAAGACAATGACAAAAAATGTCTTCACAGTGGGAAGCAGAAAGATTTTGTGAATGATAAAGCAGACTAACTTTCCTTAACATATAAATGAATTTTACTGGACACTTTGAGAAGTTATTTGTCCACCATTTAACATCAATATTTATTTGTGCATCTCCCATCAAGTACAGGATCTAAAACAAAAATGACATGAAAGTAACTTTAACTGAATTTCTTCTATGTGTCAACCCCTATCATAGCTGTTTTTATATTAATATGTTAAATTATCTCATTTAAAACCCATAATAGCTACCTACAAAAGGTAAGATGATCCCCATTTGATAGACAAAAATACAACCTTCCAAACTATAATTTTAAAATGATACATAATTTTCTCAAGTTCAAAGAATTATTAGATGACAATGCCAAGATTCAAATCTAAGTCTTTCTGATCGACTCTCAGAACAGGAACCCAGGATATAAAGAAAATTTCAAACATAACCAAAAAGCAAACAAAAAAATGGAGAAATAACATAGCACTGGCGTAAAATAAATATTACGTTATATTCTGCTACAATAAAAAATTTTAAATAAATAAAGGCAAAAAAACAGATACCTCCCTCTAGACTTGGTAGCCACTAGAGTTGTAAGTGGCTATTGAGGACTTGAAAAGTAGATAGTCAGAATTGAGTTATGTTATAAGCAGAAAATACACACCAAATTTTTAAGATTCGGTACTGAAAAAGAACACAAAAGAACTCATCAATAATTTTTTATATTGATTACATGTTGAAATAATATTTTGGCTATACTGGCATATATAAAACATATTATTAAAAATAATTTTACCTGTTTCTTTTCCCCCTTCTCTAATGAAAATTTAAATTATACTAAGAAAATTTAAATTATACATGTAGCTCACATTATATTTCTACTGTATATACATCAATAGTCTATAAGATTTATAAGTGCCAGAACTATATCTATTTTTCCCCTTATAACCAGAACACTAAATACAGTATACAACCATAGAACATACTTATTAAATGCCTTTATTTATTTAATAAATAAATGAATGAATAAACATGAAAAAACTTAAAAAGAAATTATGGCCAATAAGCATATGAAAAGAGTCATCACCATCAGCCATGAAAAACCACATGCAAATCAAAATCACAATAGGACACTACTTCATACCCACTATTAAGGCTATAACAAAAAAGGCAGTAAGTGTTGGCAAGAATGTGCAGAAAATGAAAACTTCACATACTGCTGATGGGAGTGTAAAGGTACAACCACGCTGGAAAACAGTTTAGCAGTTTCTCAAGAGCTTAAACATTGAGTTATTACATGACCCAGCAATTCCACTACTTATATAAGCAAAAAAAAAATATATGTCCATACAAAAATTTATAAGTGTATGTTCACTGCAGCATTACTCAACACAGCCAAACAGTAAAAAGAACACAAATACCCATCAAACGATGAACTGATAAAATGTAGTATATCCATCCATATAATATTATTTGGCCATAAAAAGGAATGAAGTATTGATATATTCAACAACATGAATGAACTCTAAAAATACAATGCTAAGCTAAAGATGTCAGTCATGAAGGACCACATAGTATATGATTTCATTTCTAAAAATTATCCAGAAAACAGATTAGTGGTAACCAGGTGATAAAAGTAGGATGAAAGGGGAGTCACTGCTAATAGGTAAAGAGTTTCTTTATGGGGTGATGATTATGTTCTAATATTTACTGCAATGGTAGATTCACAATTCTGTAATGGCACACTTCTATAAATATTCAGTAAAAATCATTGAATGATACACTTTAAATGGATGAATTATATAGTATATGAATTATCTCTCAATAAAGCTTAAATATTAAAAAAATTATGATACAAAGTTAAGCCTGAATTAGTATAAAAAGAAGATATATCTCCAAATGATAAGACAACATAATTAAATTGACTAATATAATTCTACAATTAAATTGATTAGTCAGAGGTTATTTCGTTTCAATAGAGTCCTACAGATAAATAGCAGGGTTATTTTTAAATATTTAGTAAGAAAATATCTTATCTATAATTTAATAAATAAGCCTTACAGCTATGCTTCTGAAATGCTAAAGAGTATAATACAGTGTTGATTATATTACAATTTCAAAAACATCTTTACAGTGGTAAAATGTAATCCATAAAGCAGTAAAACTGCAAAATATAAGAACTTGTTAGTTGTGAAAGACTATGGCTCTAGTCCTGCCTATATTTCTATAAGAACTTTTTTTTTCTTAAGACAGTTTCATTCTGTCACCCAGCTAGAGTACAATGGCGTCATCATAGCACACTGCAACCTCAAACTCCTAGGCTTAAGCAATCCTACTGCCTCAGCCTCCCGAGTAGCTGAGACTACAGGTGTGTACCACTTTGACCCGCTAATTCTTCTATTTTTAGTAGAGACGGGGTCTCATACTCTTGTTCACTCTGGTCTTGAACTGCTGGGCTCAAGTGATCCTCCTGCCTCAGCCTCCCAGAGTGCTAGGATTACAGGTGTGAGCCATCATGCCCAGTCTCTATTCTGAACTTTTTATCTCTCTTTTTCTTTTTATTCAAACCCTTAACTTCAGATTTTCATAAGATAAGTAGAACTTTAAGTTTCCAGTCTAACGTATAAAGAGTTTGGAAGTCATCACTCCCATCCTCACAACAAGAAAAAAGCTGCATCAAGGAGACTGAAGTTGAAAGAAAAAAAAAGCTGATCAAACTGAAAAATCAATAACTCTTCTTATATCCATCAGGGACTACATACAGATGAGAATTTTAAAAAGAATAAATGAACACAGAATGCAATATTTTATTTTTTTATTCTTAATAGATCTAACATAGTAGTTTGTTCAAAATAATAATACCAATCATATATTAGGTGACTCTAGCTTATGGACAAGTGAAATAAATGACAGCAATATTATATTATAAAAGTGACCTTGGGTTTTGCTGATGAGGTTTTAGATACAAAATCAAGTGGCCCGGTGTGGTGGCACGTGCCTGTAGTTCCAGGTACTCAGGAGGCTGAGGCAAGAGGATCACTTGAGCCCAGGAGTTTGAGGCTGCAGTGAGCTATGATCATGCCACTGTACTCCAGCCTAGGAGATGGACCAAGACCCCACCTCTTAAAAAATTAATTAGTTTTAAAAGAAAAGCATAATCCAAGAAAAGAAAAATTTGATTAAGTTGGACTTCATTACAATTAAAAACTGCTCTGGCCAGGCGTTAGGTAGCTCATGCCTATAATCCTTGTACTATGGGAGGCCAAGGCAAGAGGACTGCTTGAGCTCAGGGGTTCCAGACTAGCCTGAGCAAGGTTGAGACCCCATCTCTACTAAAAAATAGACAAAAATTACCGGAGCATCTGGTGTACACCTCTAGGCCCAGCTATTTGGGAGGCTGAGGCAGAATCCAGGAGTTCAAGGTTGCAGTGTGCTATAATGATACTACTCTACCTGGGGCAACAACAGCAACCCTCTGTCTCCAAAATAAAAAGCAAAGAAAACTACTGCCCTGCAAAAGACTGCATTTAAAGAATGAAAGCATAAATCACAGACAATAAAATATTAGCAAAAAGACCTGATAAAGGAATTGTATCTCAAAATATCTAAAGACTTTTTAAAACTTAACAATAAGAAAACAACCCAATTTTAAAAATGTGCAAAAGACCTAAATAGACACTTCAAAGATGATACAGATGGCAAATAGGTACATGAAAAGACACTGAACATCTTACGTCATTAAAGAATTGCAAATTAAAACAATGAGAAACTACATACACATATTTAAATGGCTACAATCTAAAAGAATAATCACCAAGTCACCAAAGCCTGGGAGGATGGGAAGCAATAGAGTTTTCATTCATTGCTTGTGGAAATGCAGTATGATACAGCCACTTTGGAAACGAATTTGGCAGTTTCTGACAAAGCTAAACATAAGCTTACCATAGAATACAGCAATTACACTCCTGGGTATTTACCTAAATGAGGTGAAAACTTACATCCATGCAAAACCTACACACAGATGTTTATAGCCACTTTATATATAACTGCCAAAAACTGGAAGTAACCAAGATATCCTTCAATAGGTGAATGACTAAAAAAAATTATAATACATTCCTAAGTGGAATAGTATTCAGTGATAAAAATAAATGTGCTATCAGGCCACAAAAATACATGGAAGAGCCTTAAAGGTATATTGCTAAGTAAAGGAAGCCAGTCTGAAAAGGCTACACACTATATGATTCCAAATATATGACATTCTGGAAAAGGCAAAACTATAGACACAATTAAAAGATCAGAGGAAGCCAGCCTGAAAAGGCTACATACTGTATGATTCCAAATATATGACATTCTGGAAAGGGCAAAAACCATAGACATAATTAAAAGATCAGTGGTTGCCAGAGGCTGGAGTGGGGAGTGGAGGGAATTAATAGGTGGAGTGCAGAACATTTTTAGGGTGGTGAAACTATTCTGTATGCTACTATAATGGTGGATACATGACAATATGTACTTGTCAAAACTCCACCAAACTATACAATACAAACAGTGAACCCTAATGTAGATTGTGGACTTCAGGTAATAAGGTATCAATATTGGTTCATCAATTGTAATAAATGTACCACACTAAAGCAAGATGTTAATAATAGGGGAAAGTAGGGACTGAGGGAAGGAAGTATGTAGGAATTCTCTGTCCTTCACAATTTTTATGTAAACTTTAAGTGCTCTAAAACAAAGTCTACTAAAATTTTTAAAAGGAGCTTAAAGAAAGTTAAGTGAGCTCTCTGGAAATAGACACAGGTTCTGTGATTAGCAGCTACGGAACATTAAATTTATCATCAGAAACCGTCTCCTAATTAAAAAATAAATTCAAAAACTCAAACAACATGTTGAGCATTCCAATGCTTTCCTCTATTATCAAAATCTAAACATAATGGATGTCTAAATTGTAAGGATGAAAAAGAGCACAAAAACAGAAATATGTCTAAGGCTCTGAGAGAGCTCAAATTAGGGGTGAAATGCTTTTGCAATTATTGCTCAATCAATTCCGTAATTCCTGTAATCAAAGGCAATGAGCAATTAAGTCAATGATGACTAAGAGGTAAATTAAGTCCCTATTCATCTAGTAATTAATGATAAAATATTTATAAAACAAACAGTATATATTATAGGAAGTGGCTTCCACAAAGACAAAAAATTTTAAGAGGTATGTGCTGCCCCTAAACCAATAGTCTTATGTTCTTTTGTGCAGATTAATGTGGAATCTTTGAAAAATCCAGATGTCTGAGTCCTTTTGAATCATAATTTCCATAAGTTCAAGCACTGTATTTTCTACTAAGCTTCCCAGTTGATACTTATGCACACCAAAATGTAAGTACCACAAACCCAATCTATAAAACTAGAAAATACGATAACCCGTAGGATAGTTATACTTTTTGGGTAAAATGATAAAACAAAAGACTTAAATACATTTTCACAAATAATAATGCACAGTACTAAAAATGTATATACATTTACAAGTAAGAACCATGCAGAAAATATTGGTGTAAGAATTTCTTGCTGAAGAAAAACTCCTGTCTTTGACTTTACTCTAAAACAATTTTTTAAAATCTTGCCTGAATGTCTCTGTAACTAGGTATAGTAACTAAAAGACTTTCTGATATATTATACTAACAAACCACAAACCTATTGCGAAAGGTACATTCACTCTTTAAAGGTCCATGTGAACTACAAACATCAGTAATCAATAAGTGATTATTTTAAAACAGATAATTAGTTTTTTTTTGTTTGTTTTTGTTTTTTACCAGATACCTGCAAAGAATAATGAAGAACTTGACAAGCAAAATTGACAAGGCTTGTTGTTGTTCTTCTAACCCATCCGCCATTTTTTGAACACACTGTAGCAACTGGATCCTCAGAACCTGCAGAATATTATCAGGAAGCAGAGATATTCCTGGAGGCACATCATCCACCCTACAATATAAGGGGAAGAAAATAAGAAGGATGTTGAAATATAGGAAGAAAATCTCTGGCACTTAAAAGGAACTGCATTTTCAGCCCAAATTCTAAAGAAGCTCTTTTATTCTTTACAGATAATCTGTGCCTTCTTGCCTGTAAGGCACCACCAGATAATTATTAACTAGAAGACTATTAGAGCAGTTTGGTCAGTCTTATTTCACAAGAGAATTACTGAAGAGAGAGAGAGAATATGAATGACTAATATCTTCAATTGTATTTTTTTTTTTTTTGAGACAGAGTCTCACTCTGTTGCCCAGGCTAGAGTGCTGTGGTGTAAGCCTAGCTTAGAGCAACCTCAAACTCCTGGGTTCAAGCAATCCTACTTCCTCAGCTTCCCAAGTAGCTGATACTACAGGCGTGCATCACCACGCCCAGCTAATTTTTTCTGTTTTTAGTAGAGACGGGGTCTTGCTCTTGCTTAGGCTGGTCTCAAACACCTGACCTCAAGCAATCCTCCCGCCAAGGCATCCCAGAGTGCTAGGATTACAGGTGTGAGCCACCAGTCTGGCCAACTATACTATATTAATGAAAATATTCAGAATATGAATTAATTTACTTTCACTTAGAATATTATTAATATGTATATCAAATATTATGTATACTAGAATGCATGTCATTTCTAAAAGAAGCAATAACTACCCAAATAAAATGAAGCACTATAACAAGTTTAATATTTGTCAACTGCTTTACTAAACATCATTGACCTACCTATATATAGACTCTAGAAGCCATGTGATCAGAAGATAACCAGCAAAAGGAAAGGAGAAACATATGAAGGTGGGGGAAAAAAAGGGTAAATGAAGAACCCTTAGCTTGAACACCAACAGATTTTTTAAAACTTTTCAATCAACGTTTTGTGAACAAGTGGTTTCGGTATAAGAAGACTGTATGGTTCCTTAAGGGCAAATGCCAACATCAGATGTGAGCAGCTCCTCTGGTGGGTCTCTCATAATAAAAACCCACACCTAAGGCCGGGCGCTGTGGCTCACGCCTGTAATCCTAGCTCTTGGGAGGCCGAGGCGGGCGGATTGCTCAAGGTCAGGAGTTCAAAACCAGCCTGAGCAAGAGCGAGACCCCGTCTCTACTATAATAGAAAGAAATTAATTGGCCAACTGATATATATATATATAAAAAATTAGCCGGGCATGTGGGCGCATGCCTGTAGCCCAGCTACTCGGAGGCTGAGGCAGAAGATCACTCAAGCCCAGGAGTTTGAGGTTGCTGTGAGCTATGGCTGACGCCACGGCACTCACTCTAGCCTGGACAACAAAGCGAGACTCTGTCTCAAAAAAAAAAAAAAAAAAAAAAAAAAAAAAAAACCCACCTAGATTCAAAGTCTAAAGACCTAGGTACTAAAGAACTATAAAAATGTACTTTAGGCCAGGCACTGTGGTTCACGCCTGTAATCCTAGCACTCTGGGAGGCCGGGCGGATTGCTCAAGGTCAGGAGTTCGAAACCAGCCTGAGGCAAGAGCAAGACTCATCACTACTATAAATAGAAAGAAATTAATTGGCCAACTAATATATATAGAAAAAAATTAGCGGGCATGGTGCACGTGCCTGTAGTCCCAGCTACTTGGGAGGCTGAGGCAGTAGGATTGCTTGAGCCCAGGAGTTTGAGGTTGCTGTGAGCTAGGCTGACACCACTGCACTCACTCTAGCCTGGGCAACAAAGTGAGACTCTGTCTCCAAAAAAAAAAAAAAAAAAAAAAAATGTAGTTTAAGTATACCATCACGAAAGCCTAAGAATCTTTTCATGAGCCACTGTATACCAATTTCCCCTACTGCTATTAAGAAAAATGTCCAAATGTGAAGGGAGCTTCCTAAAGATCACCTATGATTAAATGACAATTATACTTTTGTAGTCTATTCTTCAGATCATGCTTAATCTAAAGCATTACTAGTATTTTTACACTTGAGTAAAAGGCTGATTAACTGCAGACAGAAAAATTTGAAGCACATTACAGCGTCACAAAAGTTACATAGAAATAGAATTTAGTCTTTTTTCTTGAACTATCCTGACAAACATTAATTAAGGGAAAGTTTTTTTTTTGTTTGTTGCGGCTGTGAGACAGGGTATCACCCAGGCGGGAGGGGTTGGCATGATCACAGGCTTCACTGCGGGGGGTGGGTAACAATCGGGGCGGTGGCCCTCGGCCAAGGTAGCTGGGACTACAGGTGTGTGCCACCATGCACAGCTAATTTTTCTAATTTTTTGTAGAGATGGAGTTTCACTATGTTGTGCAAGCTGGTCTTGACCTCCTGGGCTCAAGCAATCCTACCACCTTAGCCTCCCAAAGTCCTTGGATTACAGGTATGAGCCACAATACCCAGCCAGAAAGTGTCTTAAAAAATTAACACTTGATTTTAATTAAATTACACAAAAAATAAACCACAAAGCACATTAAAAATAATGTCAAATTCTACAACCAAGTAACAAATGTTTTATTTTAGTCTGGGTATCACTTCACTTGTAGCTTTGGATTCTTTCATTCTCTTATGTATAGGTAGTACCAGAAAAATCTCTCATTTTTACATATACTTTTTTCCTGCTAAAGAGCTAAAGAGAGGTGATCAAACAAACCAGAGTACTCTCAAAATAATAAAGATTTAAATGTACTAATTTTCAAGACTAGCCTAAACTATTCCTCCCCACTTTTCCAAAAACATGTCAACAAGAAAGAAAACATTAGATTTTCTAATATTTTATCCTTCCTATTTAAAAAAAGATTTTCCTTTGTCCTGGGGCATTTTGTTCTCTATTTGCACATTTTTAAATAAGTAACTAGATAGTGTAAAAAAAAAAATACCTTCTAAAAGAGAAATTTTTTTAAAACTAACTCTCAATAAAATTGGGGCCCAGTTAGAACATGCCTTACATAATTCCATAAATCCTAACTCCATAAAGTTGAAATTTTGCCCATGTTCCTAATGTGATGAGCATTTAAAAAATTGGAAGATATTCCTACCTTTAGCACTTTACTATCCAAAATTCTATGCTCCTTTTGTTGTAATTTCCCAAATTCTAGAAATCTGTTCCACTCTTCTGTCTGGCTATTGAATATCTATTATAAACAGCTGCCAATGCTTGGCTGTGTCTAAAGCAGGAAGAAGCCTAGCTTAAGGTTCAAGGCTTTCAAGTGTGGTAAAAGCCGTCTCTACCTTGCATTTTGAATTCTCTAACTTGGAAATTCTATAAAGTCAGTTTACTTTAAATGAGGACTATCCTTGTGTTCCTTACCTTTAAGGTGACTTGACTAATTTTATTCAATGCTCTGCATATAGCATGTACTTGAAAATCTGAAGGTTTTCTACTAGTAAAATTAAATTCATGGTTCAATTTTTTCAGTTTTGATATGAAACATAATTTTAAATATACCAACTACATTGCAAATAAAGCAGTGTTCTTGGTACTCTTCATCTTACTTGAAACATTATATGGTATATATAATATTTTTGGAAAAGAGCTCCCAAGAAAGGAGACATTTTCAATGATGTGTAGATGATAACAACTGCAGCTTAGAAACTTTAGAAGCCTTTGCTCTAATATTCTAAATATCCAAAGGCCCAAATCCTAACGCCATAAATCCTTAGGCCCATGATTTAAAATAAACTGTATACTGGGTGCAATGGCTCACACCTGTAATCCCAGCACTTTGGGAGGCCAAGGAGGGATGATCACTTGAGACTAGGAGTTTGAGACCAGCCTGGACAACATAGTAAAAATTTCCACTAAAAATTTTTAAAAATTAGCCAGGAGTGGTGGCATGCACCTGTTATCCCAGCTACTCAGGAGGCTGAGATGGATCACTTGATCCCAAGAGTTGGAAGTTGCAATGAGCAAGGATCATGCCCCTGCACTCTAACTTAGACAAGAGACATCCTGTCTCTAAATAAATAAATTAAGAGCTGTAAATTATTCAAATAAAAGTATTTCTAAGCACAAATTATGAGAATATTCTGGCTGGGCATGGTGGCTCATGCCTGTAATCCCAGCACTTAGGGAGGCCAAGACACAAGGATCACTGAGGCCAGGAATTCAACACTGGCCTGGGTAATACTGTGAGACCCCCATCTCTAAAAAAAACTTAAGAACTAGCTGTGCATTGGAGTATGCCCTACAGTCCTTGTCATTCAGGAGTGTAAGGCAGGAGGAGAGCTTGAGGCCAGGAGTTTGAGGCCGCAGTGAGCTATGATTGTTCCACTGCATTCCAGCCAGGGAAACAGACCAAAGCTGTGTCTCTAAAAATATAAATAAACAAATAAAATATTTTTTATTAGTAGAAATCAATAATACACAATCTTATTTTGAGGAAAGTTTAAGATTTAATAATTTTAACCTTTATAAACCTATCACAAGTAATATTCTAATGAGGAAGAAATCTGAAACTGTGAATTTATACATAATGAAATACTACTCCTTTCTTAGCACAACCACATCCTTTCTTGTACTCAACATATTAGTCCAAAGCACTAGTGACTTCTCTGGAATATCATAATTACATCTTAACTGGGCTTCTTGTCTTCAGTTTCAACCCTCTCCAATCCAACCTCTAAAATGCCCCCGAAATAAACTTTTGAAAAACAAACTTGATCATGAAATTCTACACAGAAAAATTTTCAGTAGCACTCTTATCTTCCATAATAAAATAAATCAAAATCCATTAGCATTGCATGCATAGCACTTAATGATCTGGCCTCTATTTGATTCTCGAGACTCCACTCTCCTGTACCTACCCTCTAAATGCCTATCTCCATTCCCAAACAGCAAATACTTTCCTCTTTGCAGATTTTTAGTTCTCTACTCTTTCTCATCATCAATTACTATCCATTCCTCCTTTCCCCCCTCAAAATATAACTGGAGGTCCTTTTGTAGCAAAATGTCTCTCCCCATTTCTCCTGCTTTTTACCCTACCTAACCTCTCTTAACTGACAACTACTAGGTCTTTAAGATAGCTTAAAATATAGAAAAAAACTTTATCTGGGAAGTGAGCCTGGGAAATGGTGTGAACGTATGGAAATGGTGGTGGGTACAGGAATGGAAGAAAAGATTTGTATTTTTTCATTAATTTTTTTCTCACATTATAGGGGAAAAAATGCTAGTTTTTAAAAAACTAAATACTTCACGTCCTCCTCTAAGATGTTTTCTAAGGTCCTACTCTAAGATCAGGAATGGAAAAAAGTTTCAACCCACATGGCTATGATATAATAAAGAATATATATCTGGTCTTTGTCCTAGTTTCCTGGCACAGAACTTCAAAAACTCTTGGAATTTTCTGAGTGACAGGAGTGTCTTTTGTTATTCATTACAAGCTTCTTTGGACTATATCTGAGTCAGTGCAAATAAAGTGACTCATGGTGGGCCCTTCAATGGAGTGAATGATCACATCAGAAAGACCAAATACTAATTAGAGGGTTAGAACTTTTAACCTCACCCCCACCCCATCCTCCTGGGAAGGGAGACGGGCTGCAGAATGTGCTCCACAACGTTATCAATAATGTAATAAGACCCCAATGTAACTCTGGACACTCAAAGCTTGAAGAGCTTCCTGATTAGTAAACATACTGATGTTCAGGAAGGGCAATGTGCCCTGACTTGATGGGGATGGGGCATGGAGGTTCTGCATCCAGGACCCTTCCAGACCTTGTCCTATGTGTATCCTTTATAATAATGGAGTAATCATAAGTGTGTGTTTTCGTTGAGTTCCTAGAGTCAGTACACGAAGTTACTGGACCTGACTGGGGATGTGGGGGGAGTGAGAACCCTGAATTCATCGCCAGTTGGTCAAAAGTGTAGGTGGCCCTCAAGACTACTGGCTAATATTTGAAGTGAGGGTAATCTTGTGGAGGACTCTGCTTTTAACTTGTAGGATCTGGCGCTAACACTGGGTAGTGTCAAAATGTGAACTGCAGGACATGCAGTAGGTAGTCTATCGCTAAAGCAGAAAAGAAGCTTCTAGAGGCCAGATCTAGTATCACCAACAAAGACTGCTGTGATCAATTCTTGATGTCTGCCATGAGAACAGGTTATGCAGGACTATCAAGAGTGTAGCATAACTGCCATCCTTGATAATAAGTCATCAATAAAATCTTTGTGCCAAAAATGAACAAACTCATCCAAGGTTAAGAAATTAGTGTTTCTACATACCTTGTAGGCAGCTTTTCAAAGTCAACATCTAAGAATTGTTCATAGCTAGAAACAAAATTGTCCAACCATAGCTTCAGGTAATCTGGATCTTTCTGAAAGAAGAAAACCATTACAATATTCAACATATCTATTGGGAAAAAAATGTTTTCACATCTATTAAGCAGATATTTAAAGAAACAATAATATAAAATCTCTAGGTGATATTCAGGAATACATATGTGTTGCTTTAAAATATGTATCAAGTATCGTGAGCCCTCAAATGGCTTTCCATGTCACTCACACAGCTAAAGTCTTAACAATGTCCTATGAGGTTCTAAACTATCTGCCCTCTCATATCACCACGACCTTATCCACTGTTAGTCTGTACTACAACAGCCTCCTGGCTGGTCCTGAGACATGGCAGACATGCTCCCACACTAAGGTCTTTGTACTGGCTGTTTTCTGTTGACTTGAATCAAGAATATAAAGATCTTCCACAAATCAATAACAAAAGAACAACTCAATTTTAAAAATGGGCAAAAGGCTTGGATGCTTCACAAAAGGGGATACACAAATAGCCACATAGCACACAAATATGTGCTCAGTATCATTAGTTATCAAGGGAAATGCAAATTAAAACCAAATGGGATACCATCATATACCCACTAGAACGGTTAAAGTAAAAAGACTGACCATATCAAATGTTAGTGAAGATGTGGAGTAACTGTAACTCTAATACATTACTGGTGGGAGTACAAAATGGTATCACTGGCCAGTCAGAGTGGCTCAACGCTCATAATCCTAGCACTTTGGGAGGATAAGGAAGGAGGACTGCTTGAGGCCAGGAGTTCAAGACCAGCATGGGTGACATAGCAAGACCTTATCTCTACAAAATATTTAAAAATTAGCTGGGTGTGGTGGTGCATGCCTGTTGTCCTAGCTAGTTGGGAGGCTGGGGCGAAGCAATCACTTGAACCCAGGAATTCAAGGTTACAGTAGATAGCTATTGATCATACCACCGTACTCCAGCCTGGGCAAAAGATGAGATCCTGTGTCAAAAAAAAAAAATGTGCATGTGTGTGTGTGTGTGTGTGTGTTGCATCTTGATGCTCAATTTCTTTCCTTTGCCTCCTCAATACTTTTTTTTTTTTTTTAAGATAGAGTCTTACTCTGTTGCCCTGGTTGGAGTGCCATGGCATCAGCCTAGCTCACAGCAACCTCAAACTCCCAGGCTCAAGCGATCCTTCTACATCAGCCTCCCAAGTAGCTGGGACTACAGGCATGCGCCACCATGCCCAGCTAATTTTTTCTATTTTTGGTAGAGACAGGGTCTTGGTCTTGCTCAGGCTCCTCTTGAAATCCTAAGCTCAAACAATCCACCCACCTCGGTCTCCCAGAATGCTAGGATTGTAGGCGTGAGACACTGCCCTGGCCCTCAACACTTCTTTATGCCAGTCAAATTTCAACATGTGATTTAGGAGTCTCAGTTACGTAATCATTAATACCATTCCTTAAACACTGCTCTCGGATAATGGGAATTCAAAGAACTTATTTGCCTAAATAAACCAATTATACACTCAAATAAAATCTAAAAGAATGTTCCCTGAATATGCAGGGACTATGACCTTTTGTGTATTTGTTCCTTCTATTAATATACTGTTCCAAAATCAGCTTATAAACTACACTATCTACTCCATCACTGAGAAATTAGAAGAAGGAAATACTTTAGCAAAAGAGCTAACTTGTGTGAGAAAGTTTCTCAAGAGTTTCACTACTTGCTTTTACATTTCAACCAGGATTTCATTCATTTATTCTCATCGATTTATCCATTCAGGATAGAATCCAGAAATACCAGTAGCTAGAGTTTTCCTTATCATTGTTCTCTCTAATACAGCAGATTATCTCTTGGTAAAAGATACAAAACAGAATTAATTAAAGAATTAATGCATTTCTCTTCATATTTTATTTAGGAACTCTGGTAGTATCTGGTCAGGCTACCAGTATTTGGCAAGCACAGAGTTCTAAAAAATTGAGCAACAATAAGGAAAACAATTATACTTAAATTTGGAAATGTTTCATTTACTAAGAAGTAAAAATTTTTTGAGCATCTGCCATGTATTAGGTAGTAGAGCAGGCATTTTTATAACATACATCCATTTACTCCTTAAAACTATCCACAGAAGGTTTAATTTTATAAGGTTAGAAAAGGAAGTTCTAAAGATACATAATTTGTACAGTCATACAGCTAGTAATTGAGAAATGCAGGGATTAAAATGCAAGGATACATGAATTCAGTGTGCACTCTTTCCACTACATTAAATGACTTTAACTGTGTGCATGAATAAAACTGAGCTTTTAGTAGGCAAAAAGGAAATGGGGAGTTTAGTCAGGATCAGTAAACTCAAGGCAATAAAGAATTTAACACAAAAAGCAGTCACATTCCCCACAGCCTGACAAAACCCTTAAAATCTATACTTCACTGCCAAAGGCAATAAAAGAAAAATGTCCACACACACAGAATAGTATTAAAATTAACTTAATGCTTTCATGGTTTGGTATACTGAAACACCATCATATGGTCTCTCCATTTGCACAATATTTATCAATTAACACCACACACAAATGCATTAAGTAGTGCAGGAGTGCTGGACCAAATTACCTGAACCTAATCCCTGCCGTCACATTCTTGAACAAGTCAGCCTGTGTCTGCACACCCAATTTCTTCCTCTATAAAAATCAGCATAATGATAGACTCTATCTCACAAGACTGCTGCAAAAATTAAATAACCCAATACATGTCAACGGCTTAGAATGCCTATCACATAGTATGTGATCAATAAATATCAATATTATTTTCATAACCTTATGTAACAAATTAGGAACTCTCAGAAGACAGGATGTTCTATGCTATACATATTTAAATATTTCATAATTTCCCTTACCACCTGATTTTCATTTTATTCTTTTCCTTTTAAACTGTGCATTTATTGTCTGTGTGACTTTCGGCAGGTTACTTCACCACTCTGAGCTTTTCTTCATTTATAAAATAAAAATAATGCTTCCTACCTCATACTGTTTTTTTTTTTGAGACAGAGTCTCACTCTGTTGCCCAGGCTAGAGTGCTGTGGTGTAAGCCTAGCTTAGAGCAACCTCAAACTCCTGGGTTCAAGCAATCCTACTTCCTCAGCTTCCCAAGTAGCTGATACTACAGGCGTGCATCACCACGCCCAGCTAATTTTTTCTGTTTTTAGTAGAGACGGGGTCTTGCTCTTGCTTAGGCTGGTCTCAAACACCTGACCTCAAGCAATCCTCCCGCCAAGGCATCCCAGAGTGCTAGGATTACAGGTGTGAGCCACCAGTCTGGCCAACTATACTATATTTAATGAAAATATTCAGAATATGAATTAATTTACTTTCCACTTAGAAATATTATTAATATGTATATCAAATATTATGTATACTAGAATGCATGTCATTTCTAAAAGAAGCAATAACTACCAAATAAAAATGAAGCACCTATAACAAGTTTAATATTTGTCAACTGCTTTACTAAACATCATTGACCTACCTATATATAGACTCTAGAAGCCATGTGATCAGAAGATAACCAGCAAAAGGAAAGGAGAAACATATGAAGGTGGGGGTTGCCCCAGCCTCCCAACTAGCTAGGACAACAGGCATGCACCACCACACCCAGCTAATTTTTAAATATTTTGTAGAGATAAGGTCTTGCTATGTCACCCATGCTGGTCTTGAACTCCTGGCCTCAAGCAGTCCTCCTTCCTTATCCTCCCAAAGTGCTAGGATTATGAGCGTTGAGCCACTCTGACTGGCCAGTGATACCATTTTGTACTCCCACCAGTAATGTATTAGAGTTACAGTTACTCACATCTTCACTAACATTTGATATGGTCAGTCTTTTACTTTAACCGTTCTAGTGGGTATATGATGGTATCCCATTTGTTTTTTTTTTTTTTTTTTTTTTTTTTTTTGAGGACATGATTCGC